CCAGGCAGATAGTGTCAAAATTGAATTGAGCTGGAGGACACCCAGAGAATTGGAATCAAAGAATTGCTTGGTGTCAGAAACCTACACATTGGTTGTCAGAAGTGTTCTGTTAGCGTATAGAGAGGAGGAAACAAGTTTTTGCTATTTAGATGTCTACAAGAAATTTCCATATTGTGTTCATCTCACACCAGCTGGGATGGCCATGTTTTAGTAGTTACTATCTTTCATGGCAAGTTATAATTTTTTTTTTTTTTGAGACAGAGTCTTGCTCTGTCACCAGGCTGGAGTGCAGTGGTGTGATCTTAGCTCACTGCAACCTCCGCCTCCTAGGTTCAAGCAACTCTCCTGCATCAGCCTCCCAAATAGCTGGGACTACAGGCACATGCCACCACGCCCAGCTGATTTTTGTATTTTTAGTAGAAACGGGGTTTCACCATATTGGCCAGGCTGGTCTCGAACTCCTGACCTCATGATCCACCTGCCTCAGCCTCCCAAAGTGCTGGGATTACAGGCGTGAGCTACCACACCCAGCCAACAAGTTATAATTTTACATTTAAAGAGTTAAGCCCTTTAAATACATCTAGGGACTAGAAGGTACTACTGTAAAGTTACTTCCTAGTTACAAATTATTCATTGACTATATCATTAACTGTATAGCACAACGGCAGTTGCATTTTCAGCTCCTTCTACTTGACTGATGTCTACCTCTTTTTCTTTTTTAAATAGAAACAGGATCTCACTATTTTGCCCTGGCTGGTCTCGAACTCCTGGGCTCAACTGGATGTCCACCTCTGGCACAAGGTATACAAGTTATCTATGACTATGTAGCAAATTACCCAAAAATGTAGTGACGTCAAACAACATTTATTATCTTAGATTTATTTTTGGGTCAGGAATCCATGTGCAGTGTAGATATGTCCTTTTGCTCGGGGCCTTTCACAAAGCTGCAATCAAGGAGTTGGTGTGGGCTGCAAGCCAACTTGGTCACTTCAAGCCTCAACTGGGGAAGGATCAGCTTCTAAGTCCACTCAAGTGGCTGTTGGCAGGCATCAGCTTCTCTCTCACAGGATGTTGGCCTTGTCATATGAGCCTCTACATAAGACTTCTTAAAACATGATAGCTTCCCTGTGGACATGGTGGCTCATGCCTTTAATCCCAGCACTTTGGGAGGCCAAGGTGGGTGGATCACCTGAAGGCCAGGAGTTCAAGGCCAGCTTGGCCAACATGGTGAAACCCTGTCTCTTCTAAAAATACAAAAACTTAGCTGGGCATGGTGGTGGGCACCTGTAATCCCAATTACTCGGGAGGCTAAGGCAGGAGAATTGCTTGAACCTGGAAGGAGGAGGCTGCAGTGACTTGAAATCACACCACTGCACTCCAGCCTGGGCAACAAGAGCAAAACTTTGTATTTAAAAAAAAAAAAAAAAAAAAAGAAAACAAAACAAAACATGGTAACATGGTAGCTTCTTTCTCCAAGAGTGAGGGCTCTAAGAGGGAGAAAGTGGGAGAAAGGGTAAGCGCGATAAAAGCCACTCTGTGTTTTTGTAATCTAAACTCAGAAATGAATGAAAGCCCACCATGTTTGCCATATTTTGTTTGTTAGAAGCACATCACCTGGTCTAGCCCATGCTCGAGGGAAGGGAATAATCACTGGATGTTATCTTAGGAGTTGCCTACCCTACCAGGATGCCATTTAAGGCAGTGCTTCTCAAACTAACCCTGGTGAAGAACCAACTTAAAAAAAAAAAAAATTCAATTTGTTGCAAGACAATACTTTTGTAAAATAAAACAGAAATTCAAAGAAAAAATAGAAATTCATTTCTAGGCCTGGGCGCAGTGGCTCATGCCTGTAATCCCAGGTCTTTGGCAGGCCAGTGTAGGTGGATCACAAGGTCAGGTGATTGAGACCATTCTGGCTACCAACATGAAACCTTGTCTCTACTAAAAATACAAAAAATTAGCTGGGCATGGTGGCATGTGCCTATAGTCCCAGCTACTCAGGAGACTGAGGCAGGAGAATTGCTTGAACCAGTGAGGTAGAGGTTATAGTGAGCCAAGATCATGCCACTGTACTCCAGTCTAGGCAACACAGCGAGACAATGTTTAAAAAAAAAAAAAAAAAAAGGCCAGGCGCGGTGGCTCAAGCCTGTAATCCCAGCACTTTGGGAGGCCGAGGCGGGTGGATCACGAGGTCAAGAGATCCAGACCATACTGGTCAACATGGTGAAACCCCGTCTCTACCAAAAATACAAAAAAATCAGCTGGGCATGGTGGCGCGTGCCTGTAATCCCAGCTACTCAGGAGGCTGAGGCAGGAGAATTGCCTGAACCCAGGAGGCGGAGGTTGCGGTGAGCCGAGATTGCGCCATTGCACTCCAGCCTGGGTAACAAGAGTGAAACTCCGTCTCAAAAAAAAAAAAAAATTCATCTTTAGAAATATAAAATGAAATTACAAAGGTATTGTTTTAAAAACCCAAAACCATGGCTTATTTATTGATGTGGTAATGATGTCCAATTCCCATAAAAATTTCTTTAGGTTGGGCATGGTGGCTCATACCTGTAATCACAGCACTTAGGGAGGCTGAGGTAGGAGGATCGCTTGAGCCCAGGAGTTCAAGACAGGTCTGGGCAACACAGCCAGACTCCCTCTCTATGAAAAAAAAATTCTTTTATTCTCAATTCTATTACTTATCTTATTTGGATCAGAAACAAATGTTTTACGTATGGGCCCCAGTTTCCGGTCAACCTTTGAGTAGCACTGATTTCGGGATTTTATGAATGCAGATGACTTTTCAAGGCTTTTACAACACAATGGTTTGGACTTTTCACTTGGCTATCTCTAGATGGAAGATTCTAGAAATAAATCTAAATAGAAGTTTTTCCTTCTAATTTCATTCATCTCTCTCCATGCTCCTAAAAATGGGACTTTTTATTGTGAGTAAAGTCAAGGTTATGTAGGATTAACACGCTCCTCCAAGGTCTTTTAGGGACTTCGTTCCCACCAGTCAGAAGCCACAGAGTTAAGCCACCCTTTTGAAGTGTGTGGTCTGAAAGATATTTAACACAATGATTATCAATTCACCTTGTACAATAGTGAAGGGTCAGCCCACTTCCCAACCAATGTTAGAAGTTTGAATGCCCTTCCTATTCCTAGTCTATTCATATTATCAAAATACATCTCAAGTGTAACCTCTTCAATTCAACTAATAAATAGATTTTTTGAGCATCAACTGTGTGCAAGATTCTGGAGGGCACCACCTTGAAGAAGGAACTGCCTCTACTCTCAACTGGTTTATAGCACTCCCTATATAAACCTTGAAGTAATTTACATCTAAGTATTTTGGCAATTGAGTACATTATTTCTCTTGTTTCTTGGTGTTTCACAAATTTTTAATTCATCACCCTAATGAAACCATAAACTTAAGGAACAAAAGTACTCCATTTCCTATCCTTCCTGCCTCCAGCACAGCATCAGGCAGTCAGCAGATCCTCAGTAAAAAGCTGAAGGCAGCGTTTACTAGGCCAAGACTCCCCAAGAGTCCCCTGTTCAGAGACTAAATGCTGTCAGTGGGGTCTTGGTAACCTCACAATCACCTTTCTTCATCCTCTTTACCACCCCAACCCATCCTCCAAGGCTTAACACAGAAGAAGCAGCTTAAGAAGTCGGCTTCTGCTGCCCTGGCCCCTATTCTTCTTCTCTTCTTACTACGATAGTCCAGGAGAGAGAAGAGAAAGCCAGGTGGAGGAAGGGGCCTTTTAAAACAAGTCTTGCTCAACTTATTACACAACTGCCCACTCTCAGTTGGGGATCCCCTGGTATCCACTTTTCTTCCAAGGAAGGGAGCTAAAGTTAGCAAAACCTATCCTGGCAAGTCCCAGTGACGGGTACCGTGCATGCACAAAGGTGAACCAAACAGGTTCCTTGCCCTCAAGAATGTACAAATCAGACCGATTCTCATCTACAACACAGAGTAGAATGGGGCCAACTGTTACAATGTTGGCAAACGGAGAAAGCACTGTGGAACAGATGGGGGAGAGATTAATGCCAACTTGTGAAAATTCAGAGGATGTAGCTTTGGAACTAAGCCTTGAGGGTGAGTAATACAAACAACGGGTAACAGAGAGGACTTCCTACCTATGCAGTGCTGTGGTTGGTAGTCCACATGCATTATCTCATTTGGGGTTCACAAAAGGTCTGCTGGGGAGGTGTTATTATTAGTCTCATTTTATAGTGAGGAAACTGAGGCACAGAGACAAGGAGAGATTTGTCCAAAGTCCCCCCTCAAGTGGAGGGGGGACTTGAACTCACTCAGGGTAACTGTAGAGCTAGTGCTCTCAATCCTCAAGGAAACAATCGATAAGGAGCAAAGGATACCAGGAGATCTAGTAGTATGCAGAGCACGCCCAGAGAAGAGAGGTCTGTGAGGCTGGGACAGGGGTGTGCAGAAGGGTGGGGTGACTGATCCCAACGGCAACGGTGGAATTTATATGTGAAACTCCTAACTTAACACAAAATATTTCATCTGATCTCATCACATCCCTGTTTGACAGGGGCTATGATCCTCGTTTTACAGACAAGGGAACTGAGACAGAGCGGTTACTCTTGCCCACTGTGCCTGCCAAGTGTCCTCACGTGGGTGGAAGCCTTTGCAAGCTGCCAGGCGCCTCGCAGCTGCCCAGTCACTCTCCGCCCAGTCTACACATCCTGTCCCTTCCCACCCACCTAACCCCCCCATCGAGACCCCCACCCCAACTCCCGCCCTTGGCTTTCAGCTAGGATGATCCAGCTCACGGCCACAGGGTGGTAAGGGGCCACTTGGTGCCCAGAACAACTTCTGCTCCCAGAAAGCCTTGCGTTCCCTGGACATAAAGAAGCTTTGAGCTCGGGGAGCCCCGCCCCGCGCGGCCCCTCCCACGGGCACGAGCCCCGGGCAGCAGGGGGCGTGTTCCCGGAGGCAGCGCCCGCGGCCCGGGGCGGAGCTTGGCCGCAGTATAGGTCTGCGGGTGGCCGGGCGAGGCGCTCGGCTCGCAGGTGGCTCCTCCTTCGCTTTTCCCGATCCCCGGACGCGCCAGGCACCGTGCCGGGTGGCGCGGGAACGCCTTTGTGCCCGGTCTTGGGAACGCGCAACAGCAGCTGCGCGTCCCGGCTCATTGCTCCGCTTCTCCCGGTTCCCGGCAGGTGCGGACGGCGCGCGGGATCCGCACGTGTCACCGCCGCGGCTGGGGCGCGGGGACTCGCGGGCGCCTGCAGGGGCGTTCCGGGGAGCGCGGCGGGCTATGAAGCACCTGAAGCGGTGGTGGTCGGCCGGCGGCGGCCTCCTGCACCTCACCGTTCTGCTGAGCTTGGGGGTGCTTCGCGTGGACCTGGACCTCTACCTGCTGCTGCCGCCGCCCACCTTGCTCAGTGACCAGCTGCTGCTCCTGGGCGGCCCGGCCAGCTCCGCCTATGCGCTCAGCCCCCTCCCCGCCTCGGGAGGGTGGGGGCGCGCGGGCCAGCTGCACCCCAAGAGCCGGGACCTGGACCCCGCCGCGCCGCCCGAGGGCCAGCTGCTCCGGGAGGTCCGCGCGCTCGGGGTCCCCTTCATCCCCCGCACCCGGGTGGATGCCTGGCTGGTGCACAGCGTGGCGGCAGGGGACGCGGACGAGGCCCACGGACTTCTAGGCGCTGCCGCCGCCTCGTCCGCCGGAGAAGCCGGCGCCAACGTGGACGGCGGCGGCCAGGCTGTGCAGGGCGGCGGCGGGGACCCCCGAGAGGCTCGCAGTGGCCCCTTGGGCGCCGGGGAAGAGGAGACGGCACTCGCGGAACAGACGGCTCCGGTGCCGGACACCGGCGGTTGCGCGAGCGAGGTAGGTACAGAGCGGGACGCGAGCGAAGTGCGGCGTCTTCGCCGCCGGGAGACCCCGAGGCTTGTGTCGGACCTGGGCAGGGGGCACACCCGCTGTGTCCTGGCACCCTTAGCCCCTGAGCGTTGCGGGTTCGCAGACGCTGCTGCTCTGATTCCGAATGAAGAGCTACTAGTGTTGTCGCTGTGGATTTTAGGTTTTTAAGGAAGAAGTGGACGAAATCATCCGTTAACAACTTTCCTTGTGTTTGATGGCTGACAAGGGTCGTTCGGGGATGGGGAGGGGAGAAGCAATGCCCAGGGCCTTCGCTCAGCCCTTCGTGTACACTGGGATGTCGTTTTCTGGGACCCGTGCCCGACCGGACGATATGAAGGAGGCCTTGACTCTGGGAGGATGCACGTTTTTACGAACGACTCTCCCGGCCTAACACAAGGGCCCTTTCCCTGATTTCAACCCAGTTAGTGTTTGTTTTTGCTGCTTCCCTGGATTAAGGTGCCATGGTGAGGGTCTACTCAGAGGCCAGCTGGCAGGCGGTCCCCCTGTGACCTAACCATCCCCTCCCCCCGCCCCCCCCCCACACCTAGCAATCCTCCTTCCTGGAATTTGTGTAACCTCTTATTAGCATAAAGAAAACAGGTACTTTAACAGTCACCTAGTGACTAACAAGTTCCCTTTGGTTTATGGGTGCAGACCCTCCTCTGGCTTCACTTCTTTGTGAAACCAAGTTTACCTAGGTCTGTTGAAGTATCTGGTGCTCCCCATGGAGAGTTTGAGTTCAGTCTAACGACACTTTAACACCAATTTCTGCAAAACCATTTTATCCAAAGTTTCTTCCAGGAGACTTTTAAAATTCTTCCTTGGCTCAAACTTTAGTGTTTACAGCTGGTTTCGATCAACAAGTGGTGATCAACAAGTGTTCCTCCGGTGTTGTTTTTGTGGGGTGCATTCTTATGCAAAATGGGAATTGGGGCTGAACTGGTTCGTTTGCTGCTCTTGAGAATTGCTGTTTGTGTAGGCAGTTGCCCGACTAGCTTCTCCACCTTCTCCTGCAGGGGTCATTGTTTGGAAGTGCTTGGTGATTCACTGTTATGCTGATCTGAGCCCTTCCTCTTCCTGGGGACCAGAACTAATGGGGTGCGGGCCAGTGTGAGTCCTGGAGGGATCCTTCTGTGTTCAGAATATACAGTGGGAGTTTCTTTCCTGTTCACTCCTCCATTCTGGACCCTATGGGGTCTGTCTAACCTAAATGGTCTGCCCTCTAATAAGCGGGTACCTGCTGCACTACCACCTTTCCTGGTTCTGTAACACAGGGTTGAAATCTAGGGCTGGATGCTGTACCAGATGGCACCCTGCCTCCCATACCCGAATGCCAACCTGTGTGCAAAGTGTAAGGGACCTGGAGGGAAGAGAGAGGAAGCTGTTCAGTCCTCAGAAACTTCCCTCCTGGCATCACCTGGGAGACAAGGTGGCCTTCCTTCCCTTCGTTGTTTTTTGTTTGTTTTGAAGACAGGGCCTTGCTCTGTCACCCAGGCTGAAGTGCAAAGGCGAAATCACGACTCACTGCAGCCTCAACCTCTCCTGCTCCAGTGATCCCTCCACTTCGGTCTCCCAAGTAGCTGGTACAACAGGTGTGCACCACCACTCTGGCTAATTTTTTTGCAGAGACAAGTCGCACTGTGTTTCCTAGGCTGGTCTCAAACTCCCTGGCTCAAGCAGCCCTTCCACTTCAGCCTCCGAAAGTGCTAGGTTTACAGGCATGAGCTTACCAAGCATGGCCTAGACAGGCAGGCCTACTACCTTTGAGGCAGCTCTTGAGCCTGGGCCCGCCAAATCACCTTGGAGGCTCTTAGTCCAGCTTTCCTCAGGGAGAAAGTGAAGCTCCCCCAGAGCCACTCTCTTGGCAGTGCCTTCCTGGCCGGGCTGGCATGTGTGCACCATGTTCACTGCTGGGATAACCTGGTTACATGCAGTCTGGCAAAAATCAGCTGTCAGGCACTTGAAGTTCTCATGGCCAGTTCATCTTTCTTGCCTTTTACCTCAACCTTGTGTGGTGTGCTGGCCAGGCATCCTTAGATCCAATTTGTACCTAAGAAAAAGAGGACTGTGTGTGGTGGCTCACACCTGTTATCCCAGCACTTTGGGAGGCAGAGGTGGGCAGATCACTTGGGGTCAGGAGTTCGAGACCAGACTGGGCAACACGGCAAAACCCTGTCTTTACTAAAAATACAAAAATTAGTTGGGTGTGGTGGTGCGCACCTGTAGTCTCAGCTATTCCCAAGGCTGAGACATGAGAATCACTTGAACCTAGGAGGCAGAAGTTGCAGTGAGGTGAGATTGTGCTACTGAAATCCCGCCTGGGTGATGGAGTGAGACTCGGTCTCAAAAAGAAAAAGAAAAAAGAAAACTAGAAGCCCAGGTTAGGGATTTGGCAAAAGCCACATGTCAGTGCCAAAAGAGGGACCAGAGTCTGAGGCTCCTGACTCCCATCTAGTACCTACACTGTACTCAGGCTCTCTGGACATCTGGGACACCTCAGTGCATCTGGGATGAGGTAACTCAGTCTCCCACTGCCCAGGCTAACCACTCTCCAGTGCTAGACTGTGCCATTCATAATGAAGAGGTTGCAATTTGGAACCATGACTTCGAGAGAAAATGGGCTGGAAAAACATCAGTGGTCTTTGCAGTCTGCTAGACCTGGGTTTGGGAGCATCACTGGCTAGCATGCCCTCCCACAGGCTGCTTGAATCATTCCAAGCCTCAGTGTCTCATGTCAAGTGGGAGAGGAATGTGTGCTCCAGAGGGAGTTGTGCTGACTACGTGAGAAAAGCCCATGGGAAGGGCAGCACGGTGCCTGGATCGGTGCCTGGATCGTAGCTTCTCTCTTCTGCCCTCTGTCTTTTTTTTTTTTTTTTTTTCCTTTGAGACAGAGTCTTACTCTGTCACCAGGTGCCAGGCTGGAGTGCAGTGATGTGATCTCGGCTCACTGCACCTCCCGGGTTCAAGCAATTCTCCTGCCTCAGCCTCCTGTGTAGCTGGAACTATAGGCACGCGCCACAACACCCAGCTAATTTTTTTTTATTATTTTTTAGTAGAGACGGGGTTTCATCATGTTGGCCTGGATGGTCTTGATCTATTGACTTTGTGATCTGCCTGCCTCAGCTTCCCAAAGTGCTGGGATTACAGACGTGAGCTACCACGCCCGGCCTCTGCCCTCTGTCTTTAACCCACCCTCCTTCACCTGTCCCCCCTCACTGGATTCCTTTTTGCTTTTTTGCCTAAATATCTAGTTTGGTTGGTTATGAAAGGAGTGGGGTGTGCTGGAGCCAGACTGCCTGGTTTTGAATCCCAGCTCTGCCACTTCTGTGACCTTGGACAAGTTGCTTAATCTTTCTGAGCTTCATTCTCCTCCTCTGCACAATGGGAATCAGAAAGGTGCTTACCTCAGAGGGTTGATGTGAGAATTAAAAAGTACATTCCATGTAAAGGGCTTAGAACTTGCCTGTCACTTGAGTGCTTAGTGAATTTTAGCTACTGTTAACTTCAAAGAGAGGAAGTGCTTTGTTCCATAGGAACATAATTTTTTTAAAAAATAGATAATTCCAGTGGCTTACATTTGAGTTGCAGGAGCTGTTTCATACTATAATTTTCCATAATTTTTGTACATATGCAAAAATATTTTGGAGTAGGGGCTTTTCCAAGTATCAAAAGGAGTACTGCTGTGGTTTCACTTCTTACTGGGGCTTATCATTATCTGAAAACAGACTCTGGAATTCCCCAGGGCCAACAGGCTTCCCTTCATAACCACAGTTATTCACAATGGATGAAGCATGCATTCTTCAAAGTAACACACAGGTTCAACAAAGGAACAGTTTTTGTAGAACTGAATGTATAAAAGTACTTGAAGATGGAACAGCTACCTATAGCCAGCTTCAGTATTTCAGAGAGCTGTTGCCACTTTGAAACTGAGAGGGCTTATGGTCATTTTGATGTGGTTTTCTATCCTGGTATGGAGACTTTGTGCTGGGTGAGGGGTCTGCTAAGACCTCTTGATTAACTGCTTGAAGAAACTGTTGGGCTGGGCCGGGCGCAGTGGCACACACCTGTAATCCCAGCACCTTGGAAAGCTGAGGCAGGGTGATCACGAGGTCAGATCTAGACCATTCTGGCCAACACAGTGAAAGCTCGTCTCTACTAAAAGTACAAAAATTAGCTGGTCGTGGTAGCATGGGCCTGTAGTCCCAGCTACTCGGGAGGCAGAGACAGGAAAATCGCTTGAACCCAGGAGGCAGAGGTTGCAGTGAGCCAAGATCATGCCACTCCACACTGGGCAACAGAGTGAGACCCCACCTCAAAACAAAAAGAGAAACTGTTGGGCTGGTTTCTTCAGGGCCCAGAGAGAATCTGATCCAGTCAAAAAAAAAAAAAAAAAAAAAAAAATATATATATATATATATATATATATATATATATATATATATATTTTTTTTTTTTTTTTTTTTTTTGAGGCAGGGTCTCACTTTGTCTTCTTGAATAGTGCCATCACAGCTCACTGTTACCTCAGCCTCCTGGGCTCAAACGATTCTCCCACCTAAGCGTCCCAAGTAGCTGGGACTACAGACCTATACTGCTGCTTCTGGCTAATTTATTTTTTTTAAATAGAAATGAGGTCTTTCTGTGTTGCCCAGACTGGTCTCAAACTCCTGGGCTTAAGTACGGGCATAAGCCATTGCACCTGGCTTCAGTATTTAATTCTAAGAGTAAAGGAAAAAGAAAGAAGGTCCTTGATTGTTAAAGTAAACATTGTTTTTCATTTCAGAATAAAAAGTAGTCTCAGCCGGGCGCGGTGGCTCAAGCCTGTAATCCCAGCACTTTGGGAGGCTGAGGCGGGTGGATCACGAGGTCGAGAGATCGAGACCATCCTGGTCAACATGGTGAAACCCTGTCTCTACTAAAGATACAAAAAAAAAAAAAAAAAAAAAAATTAGCTGGGCATGGTGGCACGT